GTGAATAAGATTAGAGTTTGGTGTGGAAATAGGTTTAAACAGAAGAGTGCAGTGATTATGTGTTAAAATTGATTTCTGTTATGGATTTTAAAGCATTATTTATATATCTTTGGTTTTATGAGAAAAGGCATCTTGGGTTTCAAAATCAAGCTTATATCCAATTGAATCTTTTGTAACATTTAGAACATCCATTGAATCTTAGCCTGTTCAAAAGTTGAACTTCCTTTTCTGTGTTATGGGGATCCATGCTTTATTGTAGAAGTGCATGATAAACTAACCTAAATTATACTATTTATTTGACTTGTATCTAAAAGCACATTGATGTCTTTCTGAAGCATAATATTTGAATTTTCCAGTAAATGTACCAAAATTTTTAACAGTTATACCTTTAGTTTAAGTGCCAACTGAAATGTTTTATAAAATACTATTTTGTAATTAGGTTCTTATTTTTTAATATATTTCATTGATTATGCCATTACAGTTGTTCTATTCTCCCCTTCATTCCCCTCCACCCTGCACACCCCTCCCCCACCATTCCCCCCTTTAGTTTATGTCTATGTGTCACAAGTTCTTTAGATTCTATATTTCCCATGCTATTCTTGCTCTCCCCTCTATTTTCTACCTACCGTCTGTGCTACTTATTCCCTGTACCATCTCCCCCCTTCTCCTCCTCCCACTCCCCTGTTGCTAACCTTCCGTGAGGTCTTCATTTCTGTGGCTCTGCTCCTGATCTAGCTGTCCTCTTAGTTTGCTTTTGTTTTAGGTGTGGTTGTTAATAACTGTGAGTTTGCTGTCCTTTCACTGTTCATCTTTTTTTAACTTCTTTTTCTTAGATAAGTCCCTTTAACATTTCATATGGTAAGGGCTTGGTGATGATGAACTCCTTGAATTTGACCTTATCTGAGAAGCACTTTATCTGTCCTTCCATTCTAAATAAAAGCTTTGCTGGGTAGAGCAATCTTGGTTGTAGGTCTTTGGATTTCATGACTTGGAATACTTCTTTCCAGCCCCTTCTGGCCTGTAAGGTCTCTTTTGAGCAATCAGCTGACAGTCTGATGGGAACTCCTTTATAGGTGACTGTCCCCTTAGCTCTTGCTGCTTGTAGGATTCTCTCCTTCATTTTAATCTTGGCTAATGTAATTATGATGTGCGTTGGTGTGTTCCTCCTTGGGTCCAACTTCTTTGGGACTCTCTGAGCTTCCTGGACTTCCTTTGCCAGATTGGGGAAATTCTCTTTTATTATTTGTTCAAATAAGTTTTCCACTAGTGGCTGTTCCTCTTCCCCTTCTGGTACCCCTATAATTCAGATATTGGAACGTTTAAAGATGTCCTGGAGGTTCCTAAGCCTCTCCTCATTATTTTGAGTTCTTGTTTGTTCATTCTTTTCTGTTTGGTTGTTTTTTTCTTCCTTCTGGTCCACTCCATTGATTTTAGTCTCAGTTTTGTTTCCATCACTATTGGTTCCCTGTGCATTTTTCTTCATTTCACTTAGGGTAGCCTTCATTTTTTTCCTCTAAGTTGCAACTAAAATCAACCACTTCTGTGAGGATCCTGATGACCAGTGTTTTGAACTGTGCATCTGATAGGTTGGCTATCTCTTGGTCACTTAGGAGTATGGGCTCTGGGACTTAGAGCTGTTTTTCTTGAGCCATAATGTTTTGGTCTATTTGCGCTTGTTACATGTGAGGAGCAGAGCCTTAGGTGTTCACCAGGGCAGGGCGACCTAAGTTGCTGGGTTGTGATGCTGTATGTGGGGGTCGGGGTCAGAGAGGGGCAATGATGTTTGTTCTGCTCTCTTTCGAATTTTTTGTCCTGCTGCTTCCTGCAAGCAAACAGGGCCCCCCTGGTGCTGGTTCCCGGGTGTGTGGGCCTGTGCACCCTCCAGGACCCTGTTGGTCTCTCTAACAAACTCTCTATGAGCCTGGGAGCTTCTCCCAGCACCTTGACCCTGAAAATTTTCCCAGTTGGTGCTTTTAGGCTTTAATTCCCGTCGCTGGGGCCCTAGCCTGCGCTTTTTGTCTCACTGCTTGCTCCTTCACCTAGTTCGTCTGTCTGGCTGAATGGTTTGTTGTTGTCTGACTCCTGTGCAGTTAAGTTTTCTATGTTTTAGTTGCGTTTTTGTTACTAAAGCTTTGTTGTCTTTAAACTTGGTTGTGCGAGGAAGCACAGTGTTTCCACCTACGCCTCCATCTTGGCCAGAAGTCGCCTGGTTACTGATTTTTAAAGCACCTCAGTAGTTTAATATTTAACCACTTTAGTAATTTTGAGAACCAAGAAGGATGTGTACATTTGGTGGCAAAAGAAGACATATTGTAAAGACAATGGGGTTAAAATGAACTTTCTCATTTTGTTTGCAGATGCTTACTATTACAAAATAGTAGATTATATCTAGAAAGGTCTGATTTTCATAAATTCTGAGTCATTAAGAAGCTTAGATGTGTATTTAGAAGAATTACTGTATTTTGCCATGTATAATGTGCTCCCCTGAATAATTCACACCCACATTTTGGGCCCAAACCTTTAGGAAAAAATAATTTTTGTTTTAATTTTTAATTCAGTTATTTCTTTATTTATATTTAGATACTTGACTTTTGTAGTATAAAGGAATTTTAGCATTTATTTTTTAATATATTATGTACAAGGAATTTTATGAAACAAATAATCATAAAACACAAGAACCAGACTCAAGGTGTTTCAGGTACTACTCATGTATAATGAGCATCCTTGTTTTTCCCTAAAAAATTTGGACAAAAAAGTTCACATTATACAGAGCAAAATATGGTACCTTTTACTTAATTTGTTTTCTAAAACTTACAGGCTTGAATATTTCAAAATCTTTGATGAAAATTTTATTACTTGCCCTGGTTGGGTAGCTCAGTTTGTTGGCTAGAGTGTTGTCCTGACACACTAGGGTTGTGGGTTTGATCCCTGGTCAGGGCACATATAAAAATCAACCAAGAAATGCATAGATAAGTGGAACAACAAATTGATGTTTTTCTTCCCACCTCCATCTCTCCAAAATATTAATAAATAAAATAATTTCTTTAAAGAAAAATTATATTGTTTATACTTCTTTAGTATTTGGTTTTAACTGGATCCCTTGTGGTTGTTAAACAGAAGTTCATATGCTAAAAGTTTGTGGTAAATTACTCTGTAAGTTATGTGATTAAAGTTGTTAGGTACATTTTGCCTATGTAAATCCTCTTTCTACATGTACATGTATTTATAGACCTCTGCTAATAGGACCTTAACACTATCTTGCAAAGTTAGGGAAAGCTTTACTTTTTTCATAGAATTTCTGGTATGCAAAAAGTGATTTGCAGACCTGTACTTCATGTGAAGCACATCCTGTCCTTTTGATTGTCTTTTATTATTCAGCCTTTAGGAAAGGTTTTCCAAAGTTTATGTTTTGTTATGTATTTGTACATGTAAGAGAATAGAGGGAGGATAGATGATTCCAGGCTTTGAAGATGATCTTTTTGAAGATTTTTTTGGTCATGTATTTTCCTTTATTATTAACTTTAGATTTAGCTTAAAGCCTGAAACTTTTTTTCCCCCCACACTAAGGATACTGCATTGTAATAAATAGTGCTGTAATAAACAACGGTTAGTAAGTGGTTTGCTGTTAATTTTATTATTTCATCCATTGAAGATACCTGATTGAATTAGAATCACACCATATATTTTTAAACATAGTCACTTTAATGGACTGTTTTAAACTTTATGAGAATAGATTAATTTGATTGCCTCATCTCTCTCCCGCACACACCCTTAGGGAAGAATGGAGTTATTGGCAGACACGGGATTTGGAGGAAAATCTTTATGCCATTTCTAAAATGGACATAGTGTATTTTTTCAAATTAGTATAAGGGAAATTTAAAGACTGTCTCAAAAATAATAATTTAAAAGACCTAAAAACCTAGTCTCCATCCCTGCCCCCTTCCCTCATTTCTCTGAGTGATGGTCTGTGTCTTACAGTTACGAGTACTCTGAAAAACCTTAGGGATCTGGTTAAGTTGTAGATGACTAGTCATTGAGAAGACTGTTAAGGGCTGCTAAATGCAGACAAAGCATTACTAATTACTTTCAGTGTTAGTCTGTCCACATGAAAGATTTAGCAAGCCTGTCTGCTGAGTGGCGACTCTTGACTTTAAGAAAGCCTGTTATCTGATATGGGAGACCGTTTCAGATTGCCCCAGTTTATATGAATATAGTCATCATTGCCAAGTACTAAACCTGTGTGACCTACATGATACTTCTTAAATGGACTTGAAGAAAAGGCACTTTGACCTTGCAATGGGACATAGGTAATGTTCACACAGCTTGAAGTTTTTCCTTTTAAAAGTAAAATACTTTTTTTTTGAAGTTTTAGTTAAAAGATACATTTCAGGAAATTATTTTTAAGATCTCTAAGTAAACAGCACATATATTTTGAAAATTTTCATTTACTTCCAACTTCTAGATTTTTGAACATTGTCTCTTACTGCAAGAGGGTACTAATAGTAGTAAGTAACCTAGGTAATTAATTCTTGCCCTCACATTTCCTAATATTCTAGGTAGTAGTTTGACTGAAATTAAGAGTGCTTACTGAGACTTTGTGATAAAAAGTGAAAACAGGGATACTAGCTGGATGTTCAGATATATTTTTACCTAAGTGTAGGGATCTGAATGCTGTAGAATTGTAAATTTTAGTCCTGCTTCTAGCTGATTCTGTTTGTTCAATTTAAGATGTGATCTTTTTTTTTTTTTACAAAAGCCTGTGCTAATTCAGAAGTTTTACATGTGAGTAATTTTTTCCATAGAACTAGTGTTACCTCTGTAAAGTTGAAAATATGCAAAGTGGTGAACTGGTAAGTTTTTAAATTGCTGTAGAGTTTTTTATTGAATTTACATTGAAAATGTATAGTTTTATACGTGATAGATTTTTAATATTGCTTTTACGTATGTTGTAACAAATACAAGCTCTTTTAGTCTGAAATAAGTTCTTTTTTTCTAAACAGATTTATGAAAATATGCATCAGTTTAATACTGTCTTGGAATTCATGAGATGGAAGCATAGGTCAAAGCTGTTTGGAGAAACTTGGAAGTACAGTTTTATGTAGCCACATCTCTGAGGTAAGGAAAAGACTCTTAAAATAATTAGAATAATAGGGAACTTTTCATTAAAATTTTTAAAAATTATTTAATTTAGTTTTAGGAGGTGAAAAGGAGGGAGAGAGGGAGAGAACCATAGATGTTCAAGAGAAACATCAAATAGTTGCCTGTCATACGCCCCCGACTAGGAAATAGCCTGCAACACAGACATGTGCCCTGACCAAGAATCAAAGTGGTTTGCAGGACACCACCCAACTCATTGAGCCATACCAGTCAGGGTGAAAGTTCTTATTTTGTTAACAGATGAAAATAGTTCTTTTAAATAACTGCTACAACTTTAATTTACTAGTTTCTTTAATCACCTTCCTTATGAATCATAAGTAGTTCTCATATTTTCCTTGCCTAGTAATATGAGTAAAAAATATTTATTTATAACTGACATCTTCTTGACTCTATCGAAAATAAGCATTAAGTGATGTATATAAATTTATTTTTCCCCTCTAAAGATTACTAAGCAAAGTTCAGAATGGAAGATTACATTAAAATGTTTACATTATTCTGAAACATTCACCCATTTAAAATTGAGGATAAAATTATCTTAAAATAATAGATCTTTGGAGATAAAATTCATTTAAAGAAGTAAAAACTGCATTAACACCAGGGACAGGGGAAAGAAACCATTCTAAAACAATATGTACATTGAATTCACGTTAATTATTTTCACTTCTATTTAGACACTCATTGTCAGGTAAAAGGTTTGAATGTTTCAGGTATCTGCATTTTTAAAAAATAGATAGTACATAACACTTTTATGAAGCCGCCTGTACTTTTTCCTCATGAAATAGTAGGCTTTTCTCATTGCTTCTGCTTACTTATAGCAATTTCTTATAACCCCCTGCAAAACTGCTATATTTGCTTTTTTGAAAAATGGTCATGACTTTCTAATAAATTATCTTTTATTAGGCTTCATACTCTTTGAACTCTATAGTTGTTGCTATTTTTCCTTTCTTGAAATTCTCTTGGTCCCTATGACCTTGTGCTCTTCTAATTCTGTTTATTGACTCCTTCAAAATTACTTTCTTCCCCTACTCTTAAGTAATGATCTTCTACAAGGTTTTATCTTTGAAAATCTTCTATATTTTCCTTTGCTTTTTCTAATCTAATGATTTCAATAACTACCTCTATATGGTCTTTTTTTTAATCCTTATATCTCATTTGTGACACTTTTCCTAAGCTTTAGACTCATATTTTCAGTTTCATGCTTTATAACCCAATGTTCCCATTTCTGTTACTGGACCCCTTTGTCATCGCTGCTCATAGTCTGAGTGCTAACTGTGATTTCTCATCTTTTCCTTTTTTCCTACCCTTGGTCAGAGATCAAGTCCTAATCAGTTTACCTCTATAATGTATCATGAATTTTTTCCTCTTGTTTCTAATCCCTCTGTCACCATCCAAGTTCAGGTCTTTACATTACATTTCACCCGAAATATTGCAGGACTCTCCTAACTTTGTACCACTCCTCACTCTGTTTCCCTCTACATGTTGCTGCCCGCTTAAGTTTTCTATATATAATTCTACATACTGCATTGTCAGTGGTTCTGTTAGCCTTCCAAAGTAAGGACAGACTCGTCTTAATAGTAAAACCTCTCAGCAGTGTAGTGTTAAGTGACTGATGCCTTTGCAGCCATCCATTTCTTTCTGTAAATACTTACTAACACCTCTTCTGTTCCAGGCACTCACTCTTAGGCACTGAGAAAACAAAAATATTCCTTGCTTTGCTCTCAAAGAATATGTTTAAAGATGAGTATGCAAATAGTTAATTCAAGTGTGATTTGGAAATTGCTATATGAAATTAAAGTGTAGTAGCATCACCTAGAAAGGCTCCACCAACATTGTTAGAGGAGAAAATTATCAGGGAGGTTTAACATAGGAAATGACATCTGAGTAGAATCTTATGGTGAATATAAAATTTCTGAGTGAAATTCGAGAGGCAAGAGAATCTCTTGCACAGAACCAACATAAGTAGGGGAAGTTTGAAATGTATAGAATGCACAAAAGACAGAAGAAAACATTTTGTATTGTTTGAATTCATGATACAAGAGAGGGTTTGAGGGACAAAAGGCTGGAAAGATCTTGATTGTGAAGAACTTTGTATGCCGTGGTTAGAAGTTTAGATTTATGTTTTGAGTAGTTTGCCATCTTTGAAAATTTCTAGCAGGTATTTTGGGTTATAATTGTGTTTTGTTGATATTAATCTGGCAGTGACATGAATGATAATTTGGAAGGGGGAGGAGATACCAAAAGCAGAGAGAAAATTAGGATACTCTTTATTGTTTTAAGCAAAAAATAATGAAGCTTTTAATTGAGGTAAGGGTCAAATTATGAAAACCTTTAAGCATTGGTTATTGAACATATATTTAATTTTCTTTTCTGCCCCTACATGTATGGTACCCTTTAGCCAGTAGTTTCAAGTTGTCTTGTATTTTCTCTCTATTTGTGTTGTTATTTTCCCCCGGCATGCTTTTTCCTCTTTTTGTCTCTTGTGGAAGACCTGTCAACTTCTAAAATTCCATTTGAAGTGCCAGCTTATTTCTAAGGTTTATTTCTGATCTCTATTACTTTGACTCTAAGTATGTATTCCTCCTAGATAAGCTCCTAGAACACTTATTTTTGTTCTGTAGTATATTACTTTTTTTGATCCCTGTTAAACTGTGTAACAGCAAGTCACAAAGGCAGAATTATAAAATAAAGACCATGGTCCTCATCCTTTATTTATACTCATATCATAATATATGTGTGTGTGTGTGTAATATAGATAGATAGATATAGATATAGATATAGGTATAGATATATAGAAAACAAGCAGAGATAACCAGCAGTGCCAGGTAAAAGTGATGCATACCCAAGGAGTAAGTTATTAGTTGTAGTCAGGGTTCTGTAGCTCTGAGTAGTACAAATAGAAATAGGAGGGGTTATTTGAGCTGGGCTTTGAAAGATGAGTAGAATTTGGTCAGCTAAAGAAAGAATTAAAAGATATTTCTAGAAAAGTGGATTAATAGAAAAGGAATATTTCTGTAGTAGGAATATTGTGGAGTTCTTGGTAAGGGTAGGAAGTGTGACATACCGAAAGTTGTATTTGAGGTAAATTACTCTAGCAGTGTTGTCAGAACATCATTAGAGAAATGGTGTGAGGATTTAGGGGCTCAGGTAGTGGTAGCAGTAGTTAGACATGAGGTAAGCAGAATTTAATCAGAGTGGTAATTGTGCAAATAGAAAAGAAAGACTAAATGGAATTGGTATTGTGAAGGCAGAAAGGGAACTGATTTGTCACTAGATGTTGGAAAGAGGTGAAGACACCCACATTTTTTACCTGGACTGGAGGGATAATGTTGAGCATCATTAATAGCAAACATAAGTAATTCTTCAAATTCAGGTGGATTCTGAGTTTTGTAAATTTAGAGAAACATTAAAATGTTCTACTATATTGATAGTCTCTTCATTTGTTTGCATACAACAAATATTTTATACATTATTTTCCAAGCCTTAGCGTATTGAAAGGGTGACAGTGTAAAAAAAAGCAAAGTATTGCCTCTTCTAGAAGAGCACTTTAGAAAGAAATAGATATTTTTCTGTTCATATTTATCTCTTCTGCTATAGTTTTAAGTGCTATATTAAAGTTAGTAGAATTTAAGGAGGTTTAAAGTATTCCTTACAGGTATGATTCTGTCACTCAATGGAGGTTGGTAGCTTGTTTTTGTAGAGCTACTGTTAAATGAATAGGGACCTGTGGAGAAATTCATTAAACAGAATTTGATGATTGTACATTAACAAACAGTAAATGTTAGCGTGGTGATGTCCTTAGAGAACTATTTTATAGTGAGATAAGAAGTTACCTCATTACATAAAACTAGCTAGTTTTGATGCTTTCATTATTTTCAACTCAATTCATGATTTATGACTTTACAATATTTAAGAAATATGCAACACTGTATATTGAAAATAAAGTAGTGACTATTTGTTTCCTAATTATAAATTGTGTAAAACCAGAAAACATTACATTATTGAGGAAGGAAACATTCATGTTAAGAAAAGTTAAGCTTTTTGATTGTACTATTATCAAGTTATTTCCCCTCTAACGTAAATCCAGTTAAACTGTCAAATTGATTAATACTTGTATTATATTATTGACATATTTATATTTAAAGATCCCCTCTACCATTCTTATTTCAGAATAAAAATGTTTCCACAGTGTTTCCAAAAGTGTGGAGTGTATACTACTGATAGTATTCAGTTGAGTTTTGATAGTACACAGATTGATTTTTTTTAAATGTTCATAGTTATATATTTACTTTTATAGCTTCCTAGGTATGACACGTAACATTAGTTTTCAATTTAAGGTAGTGACAATATGTTCCCTTTATTTCCTCTCTGTTTTGAACTGTGGTTCAGAAACTTGACTTAATCAGACTTTCAGTTTATGACACTAAGATTACTATTTTTGTTCTTTATAAGGGCCCTCAATTGGTTTATTTTTGTCTCCTTTAATCTTGATCTCCATTTCCATTTTCCTCTTTGCCATAGGCAACCACTCTTAATTGGAATGAATTTATTCTTCTAGAACATATAGCATTGGTGTGTGGGTATATATATACACACACACACATACACACACACACCCACACACATACACACACCCACATGTATGTGTGTGTGTGTGTATATATATACATACATAGTATTGATGTATATATGTATGTGTTGACTTAATTAGATTTTTGCTACAAATATCCTGCTTTTTCCACTGTTTTCTTCAACACTGGAGAATTAAGATTCTCCATGTTGCTTTGTATACACTTGTTTATTTCTCCCGACTTACATTTCATAACCCATATGTATAGCACCACATTCTGCCACTTTATTTATTTGTTTATTTGGATCTATATATTTTTTATTTTTTAAATATTTTTTTATTTTATTGATTATGCCATTACATTTGTTCTATTTCCCCCCTTCATTCCCCT